CCATTGTCACCGCATCTGGAACCTGGAAAGGAACGACCAGAGACAGGGAAATGAAACATCTGCCGGGTGATTTGATAATTCTCTCAGCACATCATGGTTTTCCCCCACTCACCACAACTACTTTTTTCTTCTTTAAAAAGGGGTTGAGGGGGGGGGGAGGCGAGGCACGCTACGCCCTTTCGCTGTAGACCTTTGAATACTACACGTACATACAACACCTATTTGACATTGGTTTAGTTTTAGTCGCAGTTTTACGGCATTTACAACACAAATAGGTCATACAAATGCTGAAGATTAGGTGTTACTAGGGAATAAAATACAAAGAACAGAAGGAGGAAAGATGAGGAAGATATGTGTTTGATTTTGATTGGAAAGAAGAAACAAACAACACCAAAGCAACCACCAATCATCCACACGCCACGCTTATCTGGAAAGCCGAGCGCCAAGGAGAACCAAGCAGAACAAACGATGACGATGATGACGACAATGACCACGATAACACACCCAGAAAAACTCCAAATCACTTCATATTACCATCGTGCATTTGCCGTGCAAGTATCACATTAAAATATCATAGTAACAAATGAGTAACAAATCGCAAGTCTTGCTCTCTGAACCCACACAATATATTTCTGAGAGGGACAGAAGAGGCAAAACAGACCCCTTTTGGGAACGGACAGCACTGCGAAGAGACATTTTTATTTTATTCATTTACTTATTTGTTTATTTATTATCTTGGGAGGGAGGGTCTTTCCGTATCTCTATTTTATCAAATGACAAACATGTACACAGTGTTATCAGGAGCTCTGCGCTCTCTATTTCGCCCATGTCGTGACTCCGAACTCCAACGAAGGAGACAGCAAAGGAAAGTTTTTAAAAAAAAAAACCCAAAAAAACCCTGAGTAGAGTCAGGAAAAGTCTTGTCGGCACCCTGAAGGGAACACAACAAGCTTACCTCTTGAAAGAAGTACTTAACGCGCAATAATATATTATAGTAGCAACAAGTATTTTTAGGAATTGTTTAGTACCTCAAGGAGGGTAGTGAACCATTATGCACTGTGCTTGAAAAAAAAAAAGGTACCAGTATGTGTTTTTACGCCCCCATCGACATAATTTAAGCCATTTAGGAGGCCAGCTTCCGACCCTACCTGTCAGTGCTAAGCCGAGCTGAGAGGGACACAACATTCCAGCAGAAAGACCAAGATACTCGATAAAAATGTCTCCCCACTCGGGTATCGAACACGGGTCTCCTGCATGAGACAGTGAAGTGCCACACCGCTACACCACAGACGTCGGTGCACTGTGAAATCTTTAATACACCATAGAAATCGTGGCATCGACAAGAACAGAAAAAAAATTAATGTCGCTTAGTTTTAGTAAGAGTTTTACAGCACTTGCAACACAATAAGGTCATATAAGTGCCGAAGATTAGAGATGTTACAAGAGAGTAAAAAAGTAAAGTTGTTCCCGCTTCCGATCCGGACATTGGGGATTGCCTTGTTTTGGAGACAACGTCCTGGGCCTTCGGCATATTGTGGTAGGGTGGCCAGTTCCTTTCCACGCCGCCTTTACTCCCCAATTCGAAGTCAGGTACCCATTACTGCTGGGTGGGCAGGAGGGGACGAAAAAATCCGTGCCCAAACCGAGGCTCGAACCCGTACTTTCCGCTTCGGAGACAGCGCACTAACCGCTCTGCCACCACACCACACAAGAGAGTAACAAACATAAAAAAGAAGGAGAGATAAAGACGGTAGATGTTTGATAGGAAAGAAGGAGAAAACCACACCAGAACACCAGAGAATTGATGTCGAGAGGAGGATAGTCGTGTTCAAACTCTGAAAACACTAACGTTAATAGGATGTTGTTTATATTAGTAGGCTATACACGGTACAGTACTAGATCTAGATAATTTGAAAATCCTTTAAAAACCCACATGATTTTATTATTATTTTTAAAGTACATTACAACTTTTCTTATCTTACAACAAATCGACAATAACTGAGGACGAACTTAATACCTTGGACGAAGGGTCTCCTTTAATTCTGAAAAATCACTGAAAATTTTTGTCTAGAAGTACTAAAACTGCTGAATTGAACTCAATCTAAATAAACAAACAAACAAACAAACAAAAACCAAAATGACAACAAAACACACACATAAACACACACAAAATAAAAACCGAGGCTCAAATCTCAGACATATAATTACTTTTCACGTTTCGCGGTGTCTATTTAAGAGTATACAGCCAAACAATACTACAAACCAGAGAGATCAACTGAACGAGTTCGGATACAAGTTATCTAAAGCAGAAATAGAAGATAAACTGAACAGGTACGCACGCGAACACGCATCCTTACAGAAAGAAAAACTATAACAGAGTGCACATTGTAGGAAGCAATATCGATACAGTGAAATGTAAAAACTATGGGAATTTTGGGATAAAGAGCATGTGGGTACATACAGCGTCATCATGCTATTTCCGTCATTACCAGTATCGTTATGGTGGCAGCGAAAACCCTCTTTACAGGACACTTGATGGGTTACGTTTTAAAGTTTATTCATGGTTGGGGCAAAAAATGCAAATAAATAAATAAATAGGTAAATAGATTTAAAAACAAAACAAAACACCCTTCCCCCAAAAACAACAACAACAAAACAAGAACAACAAAAACAATGCTACTGTTTTTATCAATTATGACATTGGTAGGTCATGCTTCTTTACTTTTATTCTGCCTGCCTGCCTGCCTGCCTGCCTGCCTGCCTGCCTGCCTGCCTGCCTGCCTGCCTGCCTGTCTGTCTGTCTGTCTGTCTGTCTGTCTGTCTGTCTGTCTGTCTGTCTGTCTGTCTGTCTGTCTGTCTGTCTGTCTGTCCGTCTGTCTGTCCCCCCCCCCTCGCGATTTTCTCAAAACCCCAAAGACTGCTATCTTGGTAGAGATTGTGAAAACCTTGCTCAGCAAGTACACTGTCTGTCCCCGTGGTTTTATGCACCCCGCATAATTTAGCAAAATTTGACCATTTTTTGCATAATTTCTGACAATTTTCCTTCAACATTCTTTGTTAAAATGAACAGAATCGCACAATTTCACACTTTTGGGCTCAGTTTGCATAATTTCAGAATTTTTCTAGCATAAAACGACGGGGACAGCACCGTGAAGAAAGTTTGAGTACAATTGTTTTTTTGGGGTAAGTGTTTTACGGCGCTCGCAACTGCGAGGGACACACTTAATATTTTCAGTTGGTAGGAAATTTTGAATTTTGCCCGGGTGGCGGCCGAAGCCTACTCTTATCGATTTTAGACCACCAAGGGATCTTTAACGAGCGCAACTTGCACACGGGCCCTCCTATATTGTTCGCCCTTGTCCGAGAAGGCTAGGTGTAGATCTTTCTTACCAAAAGATCAGGGGTGTGGCAGAAAGACAGCAGTAAGAAGAAGCGAAGGAGTAGCAGTAGAAAGGCTGCAGAAAGAATCAGGAGCCCAGAGGAAGGGGTAAAGGAGGTGAGGGGGTGGGGGCAGAAAGAGGAGACGAAAGCAGACGACAGAACATTGCTAGAGAGCAGGAAATGAGGTGAAAGGAGACACATTTAGAGAAGAAAACTTTTCGGTCGCAACCCGGATTCGAACCCGGGACCTTTTGAATGAAAGGCCAACATCTTTTAACCTCTAGGCTTCGAGAGCCCCCCTTTATCATTCTTTGTTAAAATTAACAGAATCGCATGATTTCACACTTTTGGGCTCAGTTTGCATAATTTCAGAATTTTACTTGCATAAAACGACGGGGACAGCAATGTGAAGAAAGTTTGAGTACCCTGTGAAGAAAGTTTTCACTGATCGACCAGAGAATAAATTGTAATGAAGAGGCGTTCCATCAATGTTTTCGGTAAGTTTTCGGAATTCAGCTGCCCTCTATGATGGTACATCAGTGTCCCCGACAACACATGCTGCATTCGTGACTGCTTAACCCCTTCTCTTCCAATTCTGCATTTATCACCCAAACATTTCTTTGACCATATTTCTGCTCTGCTGGACGAGGTCAAACATTATTAGGGTATGCTCCAAGTCAATTAAACGCTACATGTATTTCTAAAAAAAGGAACAGACAAAACAGTGTTTACTATTCAGTCCATTTCTTATTCGCGAATATTATAGTTGGGCATTTGGCTCCGTGAAGCTTGAGCTAGCATTCCCGTTCTGGATGACAATTCAATGAACGTCCTCGTGCAACTCGCGTCACATCATGGACCTCCAGAGTCAGGGTGTACTCTGATGACGCAAGGAGGTAGTCAATGACGCGCTCTCGTGGACAAAAAAAACCCAGCAACCGAAAAACGAAAGAAAGTTATGTGAGATATATATATATATATATATATATATATATATATATATATATATATATATATATATATATATATATATATATATATATATATATATATATATATATATAATACGATACGCTTTACGCATCTCCCTAGCTCAAGGAAAAAAAATCGACATAATTATAATTTGGGAGGTAGGCTTCTTCGACCATGCCTGTCAACTTGGGCTGAAAGAGGTACAATGTCCCATCAGAATGACGAAGTTACTAGGCAAAAATTATCCCATCTCGGGAATCAAACTTCTGCATGCAGCCTAACCGCTACACCACATAGGTCGGTGTTCAAGATATTAGCAACAAAGGCCTTTACAGAAGGTTGGGGGGGGGGGGTACATTTGACTCCACTCTGAGACGGAACTGTACCAAGTGGACGAAACATCATGAAAGCTCCTACGATCCTACCTTGCTCAAGCCCAAGAAATTGGTGAGCCGGATTCAACGCATAGTCATCAGCGCCGTAGCCCATCATGAGGGTTAACAAAGTGCCAATCGACTTCTTTGCTGATTAAACAAAAATACTTATATACTTTTGAAACATAACAAAACGAAAAAGCAATAAAAACAAAAGCTGAAAAAATATAACACAAAAATAAAACAAAAGTTGCTGACAAGACTTACATGATATATATAAAACCACCAAGAGCGC